TATTTATATACATATATATGTATTTATATATATTCATATATATTTATATACATATATGTATTTATATATATTCATATATATGTATATACATATATATGTATTTATATATATATATATTTATCTATATTTATTTATAGATATAAATATATATATGTATATAAATTACATATATATGTATTTATATATATACATATATATTTATCTATATTTATTTATAGATATAAATATATATATATGTATATACATTAAAACTCTGATGAACCAGATTCTACAAAAACATTACATTTAAATTTTTATAGGTTTTCATCATCATTTGATGTATTTGCACTCATTGTGTCTACTTTTAATGTTCATTTTAAATGTGTGGTTTTCTTTCTTGTTCACATATAAACATTTTATTTTTAGCTTTGCTTTAAAGTTCTTGTTTTGTGATTTGTACATTTGTGAGTTAAAATAAAGTTGAACTGAAGGTCGTCTCTTCTTTAAACATGTTTGAGGGAAATATTCCTGAGATCCAATAGTTTTGTGTCTTTTTATGATTTTCAGCTGAGTTAACAGTCATTAAAGTGAAAACAGGATTTCATGATGAAGCTGGCACCGTCTTTTTTTTTTTTTTTAATCTTCAACGCTCTGCTGGTCTCGCACTGCCCGCAGGCAGTCACACGATCGTCTCCTCCGGAGAGGAGGAGGCTGGGAGGCTCATCCTCCCAGCTCCAGCTCAGCTGGTCACTCACAGAGGCTGTTCCAAGACTCCAGCCGCGCGTAATCATGAAGGTCCGACCCGCGCAGACAGGCAGACAGAGACGGGTCTGCGACGAACGGTGGAAGCGATTTTAAAAAACATTTTACGTGTAAAAAAAAATAATAATTTTTAAATCGCTTCAGCATTTTTTAAAAACATTTTTTGTATAAAAACAAAATATTATTTTATTTAAAAATCGCTTCCAGCGTCCGTCCCAGACTGTCCAGTCCGCCTGACTGCCGGGTGGGATCGGGATTCAGCCTTCATGATTACGCGCGGCCGGGGTCTCGCAACGTCCATCTGCGAGTCCCCATCTCCAGATTCGCAGTGACCAGCGGAGCTCTGAGCACACAAGGCTGGTATCCGGAACCCGAGCCTCCGAGTCGGCACATCGAAGGATCTTCCGCGGTGACCAGCTGAACTTGGAGCCGGGGAGATGACGCCCTGCCCGGCCTGGCGCTCCGAGGCTCCGGAGAGAGGATCGGGGTAGACCAGCAGAGCTCCATCCAGCTTGCTCTAAATTATGTTGTCGGCCACCAAGCACAAAAAATGCCAGCACATCAACATTAGACCAAGATGTTGTCAGTATTGTTTTTAAAATCTTTAAAATAAGTCCAGGCTGCTCCAGTCCGAGAAATTGCAAATGGCGGATTATTGTTTTGAAACGTTTCTGAAGGATCCAGTGACTCCTCCCCCGACTCCGCCCCCGACCAATCAGTGACCGACAGTGTACTGACGTCACATTTTTGTACCTCTTCGTACCGGTTAGAACCACAGAGCCAAGGGTACTGAAAATAGTAACAGGTGCTAAGTACCGGTACTAATGGAAAAGCCTCAGAACCAGGCCAAGTAGGGTCGAGTCGGCCCGTACCGGTACTAATGGAAAAGGGGCATATATGTTGTTCCTCCCCCTCATCCTCCGGAGTTGGAGAAGTTGTTCAGAAGTGACACCGATGATGGTAACTTGCTTGTCAAACTCGTTGGCTTGTTGTGTTAATTAAGACTGTTCAGAATCCCAGGCGCAGACTCAGAAAAGGAAGGGGGTTGTCAGTCTTTCCCCATCACAACAGTGCAGCTTCAGTGAGATAGCGCAAGAGCGTCTCGTTTATTTAAAATAATAAAGCACGACCCGAACCGAACCTTTACCGAGGACACAGTATGAGACAAGATTTTTTTATACCTCCCCTTTTCCTCAAGTTTTCATTGTTCTTATCTAATGAAAAAGGTGGCGCTGCTCAGTGCGGCTGCTTCCTCAAACACCTCGTCCCCCCCATGTTTGTTGTTTATGTTTATGTTGTCTTCTCTTGGCGGGCTGTTTCTGAAAATGTAATTTCATTGTGCTTCTGTGCAATGACAAAGGCATTCTGATTCTGATTTTAGTCCAGTCCACTGGCGACCACTGAGCCGGCCAGGCCACCGGGAAATGTCTCGGCGTTCCCGATGGTCAGTCAGCCCCTGTGTGTTATTTCAGATTAAATGTCTGTTAATGCACTTTGTGAAATACACTTCTAAATAAACGCAACTTATACTCCAAAGCGACTTATATATATATATTTTTCCCTCTTCATGAGGTATTTTTTGACTGATACAACCTATAACCTACTCTGGAGTGACATATAATCCGGAAAATAAGGTACGTAAATTCTTCTTGTACTCTGCAAATCAAAGCACAGATGGTACGCATCATATGCAACAACTGAGCAATTATGGGACTAAGGCTGAAGCCGGTGTGAACACTTGCTTGTTCAGGAGATAGTCAAGTATACACGTATGAAAGCAGGACGATCTTTCACTGTAAATCATTTGGTGGTGAACAAACTGTGCATGAGGACACCACAAAGCTCCCAAAGCCGACTCCGAGCCCAAGTCTGAAGTACAGCAGCACTTCAAAATGTGAGCTTATGCCTCGTGTTTTGACTCATTAATGTAAATGCAACTTTCACACTTCACTTACATGGCGTTGTCACCCAGCTCTTCATACAGGTTGTTAGCGGTGCCTCCCCCAGGTTTGCCTGTTGGCAGAGCCATCTGGATCCGAGCCGTTTTGGCACACTCGGCTTGGCGCCTGGTCACGGCAGAGAACAAACACAAAATTTGTAAAAATAATTTAAAAAAAAAATGGTAAAAGCATGACCTCAGAAAACATGGCAGCATTAAAAAAGGCAGGAGGGATGCAAGTTGTCATGTTCAAAATGTCAGGTATCAAAGAATAAGCCTAACTTAAAATGTACTATTGTTTAGCAGTTGTGTTGTCAGTTTTGGTTATTTACGTGCAAACTTTTATCAATCATTCAATGGAAACAGTTCAAGAAATGTATGGCACATCCTTGGTCACATAAACAATTCAACTGACACTAATCTTATAAACGGTTTATTTCTATTTCTGTTTATTACCATAATTTAATCAGTTTTTTACTTGGAGATAAAGCGTCAATAAAACGATCAAAAGATAGTTTTATTTCACTTTGCATATCCATCTTTTTGTCTTGCTAAGGACTTTTTAAATATAAAATTAACAGTTTTCTTATAGATGTGATTATTATGAATAATCATACAATGACTCGCTTGTATTTGCATTTATTTCAGAATAATTAATTCAGTTTAATGTGTCTCACTATATTTGTATACGATTTTTGTCCATAACAATTTGTGTCTTGCGGATTTGTTTAGTAATACGTCCAAGTCATATTGCAAATATTTGTGCCTCCTTCTCTGAAACACTGAATTTAAAGTGTTATTTATAGCAGATCATAACATACTACCTGACAGTTTCTTAGCAGCAACCTTACAAACAGAAAACAACTATCTTTGAAAACATTTTCTTTGGTACAATGCTGCTTAAACATGTTAAAAGACAGTTTGAAGTAATGTTCTGTTAGTTATTTATAGATAGTTCGTACCTTATCAGCCATGACACCATACAGAACACAAAGTGTGGAGAAAAAAAAGGGCAAACTTCTTCCTCCAGGCTAGACTACACAAAAGAAGTCCTGTTTATTTAATTATTCTAGGCTTTTAAAAATGTCATGTTGATGTGAAACCATGAGCCATGCTTTATGACTGATGTCACAACTAATAAGATACTAACTATTAATAATAGAGCAGACCAGAACAGACCAGATCTCTTTAAAAACATATAAAGTCACCGACCTGAGTAATATAAAATCAATCAGCATCAAGCTGTTTCTTATTATTCCTCATTTTACTCACATTTTGCTGAAATTGGAGCGTAAGCAGCTGCACACTTTCTCTTTAAATGATAGGGTTGTAGTTGAAATAACCTTGAAATCAATATGCAAACAAACTCCAACACACAGTAATTTATCTATTGGCAGTTTACATTTGATCATCTTTAATATTATTTCATAGATTGTGTGCTGCCTCCTCTTTTCAAAGCCCTTTCTTAATTCATTCATTTTATTGTACAATGCATTCCCAGCTGAACGTGTTTGTACAGCTATGTCTTTATTATTATTATTATTATTATTATTATTCTGATTATGATTATCTGGAGGAAATAGAAAAAGGGATACTCACTCTTTGAATCTGCAACAGACGATGCAGCAGATGAGACAAAGACAGATTAGTGATTATTTGAATCATAAATCACACAGCACCTTTTTGTTATCCAAGTGTACTTATCGTAATTTACAGGCAAAATCACACAATTGCTCTTCATTAAAGTAATTTAGCAGCAGATAGTAGTGATTATCATACTAATGATTACTGCTGCGTTTTTCTCTGCAAATCTAAAATCCTCAGCCATTTATTTATGTGAGTGTGTGTTTCAGCAGGATAAGAAGTTATTGCCAAAATGCTCCAAATCCTTTTCAGTGTGGGTGCACAGATGTTTATATTCAGATAATTTATTAGTCGCTTAGCGTAGTTAGTTAAATAAACTTAACTGTGGGACCATGCAGGGTCACCTTGACCAGGTGGTAATAAATGTGTTAAAAGAGGATAAATTTATAGGTGCTCAAATAATTACACAGGTCTGAAACTCACACATGAATAATGCTGCATATTATGGGATTACTTTTAGCTTTGGATCAATACACTTATCTCAAACCAAGTTGAACTAGAGAAATTGCATTTCCTTCAAAAATGCAGTGTGAATACTTATTGCTGAATAATTAGCAAAAAAACCCCAGCTTTAGTTAGGTAAAAACTTGCTAAATTGTAGCCAAAATGGAAGAACAGGCCTAAATTAGCAGAAGAAACCAGAAAGAACATATATTTGCTGAATGAGGATAAAATAAGCAGAAATAAGCTAAAAAAAAAAAAGCTGAAATGAGCAAAAAACAGCTAGCTGAAAATGCAGAAACAAAGGCTTAAACAACCAGAAAAAATCTGAAAGAGCTGAAATGAGCTAGAAATTGTGGAATTAGCTGAAAAAGCTAAAATTATCATTAAACACAGCTAAATAGTGTCTGAAATAGCAGAAAATGATGAAACTAGCAGAAAAAAGCTGAAATGAGCATAACAAGCTGAAACTAGCAGAAAGAAGTTAATTAGGGTGAAAGACGCCGAAATGAGCACAAAAAGGTTGACATTATCTTAAAAAAGCTGAAATTAGCAAAAAACATTGTTGAAAAGTAGCTAAAAAGGCAGAAAGAAGCTTAAATTACCAGAAGGAAGTGGCTAGAGCACATTTTTGCTGAATTAGGCAGAAAGAAGTTGAAATGAGTGCAAAAAATGTGAATTGAAAAAGTTAAAATGAACATAAAACAGCTAAATAGTAGCAGAAATAGAAGAAAAAGCTGAAATTAGCAGAAACAAATTAGAAGTCACACAAAAATGTTGTAGTTAGCAGAAAGAATTTGAAAGGAGCACAAAACATCTGAAAAAAAACAACAACTGAAATTAGCTGATCTTTTAAAATTATTATTATTTTTTTTGTACAAGGAAGCTGGAAGAAGCTGAACCAGAACAAAATGTGAAAGGAGCAGTAAAAGGTTCTAAACGGATCTAAAGATTTGAAGGATGTAGCATGAGCTCAATTCATTTTCTTTGAGAAAAAAAGAGACAGAACAGGATAAATATTTCAAAAAGCTAAAGTTGCACCAATATCTAAAGTCATAGCACCCTTCTCATGAATGAGTTGTTGTTTTGATTTATGATTTGTTGAAATAGCACAACATTTGTGGAACGAGAAAAACGCTGAAAAATGTACGAAAGAAATCTGGATCTCAGTAGTGTGAATGCTTCATAAGCACTCATACAATTAACTGCAGCGGGAACAGATTGCTAGTTTACGTATATTTAAAAAGATGTGTTTATACATTAGCCAATCAAAGAGTGCAGTTGTGTGATTTTCTATAAATATGCATCATTACAGTTTTAGTGCAAATAAAAATACACGTAAAATTGTACTTACTGTTTGTAGGTGATAATGACGATCAGTATGGCAGGAACGCAGCAGATAATGATGATAATGGCCAGAGCAAGGAGTGCCCCCTCGGTGTAGCCGACGCTCTGCACGGCTTTCTTCACGCTGGTCACCAGTTCAGGGGTTCTGATTTCCAGAATTCGGCCACCAGGGGGGAGAAATGACTGAAACTCCTTATTGATGTCCAAAAGCTTTCCATCTAAAAACCTTGGGATGAGAAACACGATGTAAACTATAAAAATAGTGTTTCCTGAGAAAATGCAGTGTGAGTGCTTATTGCTGAAGAACTTCCCGAAAAACAGCTAAAATTAGCTTTAAATTTTTTTTATGCTGAATTGTTGCTGAAATGGAAGAACATGCCTCAATTAGCAGAGCAAAGCAGAAAAAACACACATTTGCTGAATTAGGTTTAAATTAGCAGAAAATAGCATAAGTTAGGAAATTAGTTTAAAAAAAGCTAAAATTAGCAAAAAAAATAGCTGTAAATAAGCTAAACAGGTGGAAAGAAGCTTAAACTACCAGAAGGACATGCAAAGAGATTAAATGAGCTCCAATAAGGTGGAATTAACTCAAAAAGCTAAAATTAGCAAACAAACAGTTAAATCGTAGCTCAAATATCAGCTAAAGCTGAAACTAGCCAATAATATCTGAAAGGAGCGTAACCTTAAATTACCAAAAAAAAAGTTAATTAAGTTGAAAGTAACAAAAATTACCATGAAAAAATTGAATTTATCAGCAAACAGCTGAAATTAGCTTAAAGATGTTAAAAAGCGAGCTGAAATTAGCACAAGAAGGCAGAAAAAACATGTTTGCCCAATTAGGCTGAAAGATGCAGAAATTAGCACAAAACAGTGGAAATTATCTGAAAATGGATTAAATTATTCAAAGGAAAAAAAAAAAGCTGAAAAGACAGAAAGATACTTAAACTACCAGAAGGAAGTGGAGGGAGCATAATTTTGCTCAAGAAGGCTGAAATAGATATAAATGAGTGCAAAAAAATGTGGAATCACCTGAAAAGGGTCAAATTAACATGAAACAGCTAAACAGTAACTTAAATAGCAGAATAAGCTGAATGAAGCAAAACAAGCTGAAATTAGCAGAAAGAAGTTAGAAGAAGCAGAAAAAAATATGTAGTTAGCCAAAATAATCTGAAAGGAGCACAAAACAGCTGAAAAAAACCCAGCTGAACTTAATTGAAAGTAGCTGAAAAAATGTTTAAATTTGCACAAGGAAGCTGAAAGAAGCTGAACCAGAACAAAATGTGAAAGGAGCAGTAAAAGGTTGTAAACACATCTAAAAGTTTGAAGGATGAAAAATGAGCTCAATTCATTTTCTATGAGGAAAAAAAAAAACGTCAGAAAAGGCTAAATATTTCAAATAGCTAAAGTTGCACCAACACCAAAAGTCATAGCACCCTTCCTCTGAACGAGCTGAACGTTTTGATTTATGATTTGTTGAAATAGCACAAGAATTGTGGAACGAGAAAGATGCTGAAAAACATACAAAAGAAAATTTGATCTCAATAGTGTGAAAGCTTCGTAAGTGTTCACACAGCAAGATCAGGACCGTTAACTATTTCTCTCTGTGGAAGAAGTGATACCCAAACCAGCAATGTTCTGTTAGCTACAGCATGTAAACACTTGTTTCAGAATAATATTCTGAAAATGCAGCTTCAGCTGAACCATCAGAAAACCTAAATGGATGATATACCTTGCCAAATTTATTATCAAAACATAGATTTGATTATTTGACTTTATGTCTTCCATCAAGCACAACGTAGTTAGCAATTTCAACAAAGCATACACTTGTTATGGGTTCTTCTATTGCTTGAAGGTCCAACTCCTATTTGTCAAATGGTCTAAAACAATTAAATTTATGGCTACGGCTCTTTTACTGCTCGTTTTCTGCTAAAGTTCTTACTTGAAGAGCTCTTGTCTGGAAACAGCTCTGTTCGTCAGCGGGTCGATGGCATAAATCATGAGGTCCGACTTAGAGTAATCTTCCTGCTCCGTTCCGTCACTAGTCCGATGGGGTCCAATGGTTTCTATGACAACCTTTGCTCCGACTACCTGCTCCTGGACGTAGCGTTCCAAAATGCTGAGAATTAAACAAAAGTAGACGTGACTAATGTCAGCACTTCATGAAACCACAAAGATAAAAAACAGATTAAATTAATTCCATCTCCCGTTCAAATGCCTCACATTTGCTGACTAAAAGACACATCCATCATCTGGTCACAGCACATGTGCTGAGGTGTTTCAGTGTGTGTTTGCAAGAATTTATGTGCATCTCAATGAGGTCTTATACACAGAATGGATGGTAAAAATAAAAGTCTAAGTAGCAAACCAACTGACCAGTTGTCATACAGTGCTGGACACTTAGAGCAAAGAACACTTAGCATGTACTGAATATATCATGTCATGTTTAGTAATAAAATTGTTCTCAGAATTCTTAATATGCACCAAAGTCCATGCTCAATGACCCAGGTAAAAACCCAACAATGTTCAGTCAAGTCATCTGGACGGTTTCTTTTTTTTGCTGAGATGTTTCGTCCTTCATCCAAAGGACTTCTTCAATCTGAGGAGCCACAAACAAACAGAGTCCCACAAACAGCACACTCCCATTGTGTTAAAAAAACAACAACAACAGTTTGCTGGTGATAAGTTGGCCTCTGGGGCCCACCCTCTCCATCTGCCTCAGAGGAGTTGACAGGGGAGAGGACGGGCCCTGGAGGCTAACTTATCACCAGCAAACTGTTGTTGTTGTTTTTTTAACACAATGGGAGTGTGCTGTTTGGTGGCGCCTCAGATTGAAGAAGTCCTTTGGATGAAGGATGAAACATCCCAGCAAAAAAAAAAGAAACCATCCAGATGACCTGACTGAGCATTGTTGGATTTTTAATATGGTTAAATAAAAGGAATAATAAAATAAAAATAAAAAAACTGGAGAAAAGTCTATATATGTATTTTATGTGGTACTGGGGTGATGGCAACGTTTTAAAATAAGGGTCAGCGATTAAACAAACAAACAAAAAAAAATAGTTTGAGATTAAAAGAAAAACTTGCAGTGTATCAAAAAAACAACATAGAAAATAAACATGGTGAATAAAAGAATCTAAGATAAATACTTTATCTACTCAGTTAACTCCTAAATACAGAGAAAATAACAAATTCATATATTTGATCACTGATTATTGGTGGTTAAGCATGTCCAATAGTTATTTTAGTCCGCTTTCTGATCATGTATAAAATGTTCTTTAATCATCAGACTATGTGTTTTTTTAAATTTTCATATAGTGATATCTTATTAATTATGTTAATGAAAAAATGTTTTTGAATGGATCCAAAAAATGTTCAGTCAGGTCATCTGGATGGTTTATTTTTTTTGTGTTGAAACGTTTCACCCTCCATCCAGAAGGATTCATCAGTCTGAGGAAACATCAAACAAAAATGCTTCACCCCCAACAGGTTTTTTTTCCACTCTGGAGTAAGCTGTTGGGGGAGAAGCAGTTTTGTTTGGTGTTTCCTCAGACTGATGAAGCCTTCTGGATGGAGGGCGAAACGTCTCAGCACAAAAAAAAAACAAAAAACGTCCAGATGACCTGACTGACCATTGCTGGGTTTTATACCTGGATTATTGAGCATGAACTTTGGTGTTTTTGAATGAAGCATTGCAGTTTGACTAAATATTGTGTTATTCCAAAATGTTTAGTTGTGACTCACGCTGCCTAGCTGTACTTTATATCAGCTGGTCCTAACCTTTATTTTTTTAATCTTTCTTTACTTTTAACCACAAAAAGCTGCAGTCCGGTGCCAGCCGGCAAGCAACAGCTTGTCAACAACTTGTTGGATGCCTTGTGTTGGAAATTTTTCAGTTAGCATTTAATCAGATGGAAGAAGCAAGCTCATCTTCACAGCTGAAGCACTTTCCATCCTCCAGGCTGGAAATGTAACAATCCAACACTGACGATTTGCACAAACAAGTGTCAAATAAATAAATAAAAAAACAGCAAAAAGAAACAGTGCATAAAGACACCTGCATAAAGACCCATTTATCTGCAGCGGAAAATGTGGTTCTGATATTCCTCTTGCTTCACACTTGGGAATAAAAAGCATCTTTGATGAGATCTGATTCAAAAACCATTTAAAAATAAATGTATCTTTGAGTTTTACATCAAAGCACTTCAAAAGATTTAGTTTATCTGTTGCGATTTTAAAAAAACACCTCACGTTGGACACCAATGTTAAATTCCTACTGATGCAGTTTTTACTGAATCTTGTTTTTAAAAAAAAAAAACTAATACATTCAAAATGCCTAGCAATAACAATATATA